GGCGCACCCGCCCCCTCCACTGTAGCGCAGCCCCCCTCGCCCGCGCACTGCGTACGTCTGGCGCCATTGCGAGGCAATGTCCTTGCCAGGCAATCGCCAGGACATTTCCGGTGTGCAACGACAATAATGACATACGAACAATGCGCACATTCAAGTGATTCGACTGACAATAACAAGTTAGTTGTTAGCTGTTGGTTGTTAGCTCTTGGCCCTTGGCTGTTGGCAGTTGCCTCTCGGTTGTTTGTTGTTGGTCGGGTTGTTAGTTACATAGGTGCAACATGTTTGTCCGTGGCGTTGCTCGACCCAAGTACATAAATTTCAACTCATTTATCCTGCAATGGGGCCCTTTGCCAAAGTGTGCAAAAACAACAACACACAAATAAAACAAGTTAAATAAAAGAAAACAATTAACATCAAGTTGCCGAAGATTAAATACTCTTGCGGACATAGAGCAACTTTTCACTAAACTTTTATACTTTACATAAGGTAAAATATTATATAATATCTACATTTTATGTTTATTTAACTATACTTGTATCTATGTTTTCTTATACCGAAAGCATACACAGTTTACTTCCAACTGCACAACAAACTGCCCTACTATGCGATTCTCATTAATTCAAAAAGAGATTGCGGATTTTTCTGTTTTAATTATAAGTGTTGTGCGTATGTGTTTTATTAAAAGAAGGCGTTGACAGTCTTATAAAAATAGATTTTGTATGAATGTATTTATAAAGGAAAAGTAAATGGATAATTTGAGGGATAGATTGCTTGTTTAAATCTGCTCATTATAGCGCTCAGAATCTGTATGAATGCCTCCCGCTCGACATAGTGATAATACCCTGTACAAGTGCCTAATGACTGGTCATTTACTTAAGCTTGAACAACAGCAAAGTTAGTAACTGCATGTAACTCCCCTTAACAGTCCCTCTTTACCATCCGCCCTGGCATCCCGCCTGCAGCTTGTTGGCATTGTTTATGGCCAGACTTTTTAGTGGACGCATTTGCGCTACTTTGTCAGCCAAACTGTCCGCTCTATCGGCCTGCGCTGCTTTTATGCAATTAACTAATTCGATGTGGACCTTTCTTGTTGCTCTCCTGCAGCACTTGCGCCAGCACGAAGTGCAAAAAGTTCAGGCAACACAAATTTATGTTGTCCAGGGTCAGGGTTCGGCTTCGGCAGCTGCAAGTTGAAGCAAAGAGCGCGATTGACTGCAGATTGAATCAAAGAGCGCAACAGTTGAAAGCGGCAGCAGCGCAGCTCTCGCTCTTAGGCGCTCTTCAGCTGAGAGGAATGCAATGAAATGAAACGCCAGAGCAAAGTGCAGCATTCGCTCTTACTGGAAGTGTGTGGCACAGAGCAACTGCAATTGTTGTTGTTACTGTGAAAGCTGTTGTTGTTGTTGTGTCAATCAGCACTGCTTGGCGAAAGTGAGCAACAAATGGGAAATGGCGCATAAAAAGCCGTTGCCTACTTTACGGCATTTGTCGAAATTCGTGTGTGTTGCCTACTTGCTGGCGGCGCCATTGAAGTCAAACAGCAACAAGTACAACAGAACAGCAACAGCAGCTAAATGGTTCTTTGCTTGTAAGTGTGTGTGAATGTGTGAGTGCTTTGAGTGCTTGAATAACTGTCTGCTTGCTAACAGCAAAGACAGCCTGACAAAACACATGCAAACTCATTAAATTCCATTTTAAATGGGTCCTCAATTCGTCCGCCAACTCGGCTGCTTGCGCTACTTTCGGATAGAATTTCACTTGCGCCTCGCACACCCGCCCCGCCTTGCCCAACGCCAGAAAGTATGCAGATAATTGCATTTGCTTGGCAGCAACAGGAACAGCAGCACTTTTCTGCCTCATTGTAATTCCCAACACGTTAACGCACACAGACAATTGAGTTGGCTCTCGGCTAGTTTGACAAACTTGTCTAGAACTGAGCCTCTGCAGCTGCTGTCAATTGTTAGTATTGATGATGACAGTTTATTATTATTAAAGCAAACCCAAATTATGCGGCCTGGCACAAGCGCAGTGGGCATGGCATTGAATCTGTTGCTAGCGTGTGAAATGTGCCTGCAACGGAAATGAGGTTTCAATTATGATTTATGCAGGCAACAATGCATCCAGCAAGACGACCGCACAGACGTAGACATTAACATTTGCCGACTGCCAGGGCAGTTATTAGCCAGCCGCACTCCCACGCACACAAGCACAAATACACGCACACACACACGCTCATATAACACGCATAGCAAGTGCATTTGGAACTTGACACGCATATTTAGTGGCAACAACAAACCTAATTACGCATGTCCAAAAGCGCCCACTGCAGTTGAGTTGAGTCGAGTCGAGCTCTTGTTCTCCCCCCTTGGGCTGCATTTATGAGTTGCACTTTGCCAAGTTTGTCTCTGTGTGTGAGTGTGCGTGTGGCTGGCAGTGCATTTCAATAAGAATAAGTGACCGATGCAGTTGCAACTGCTGTTGCAACTTGAGCTGACCCACGCCTGACCAGCTGCCAGCTGCAATTCCAAAACAGTTGCAACATTTGTCATCAGCAAAGATTTGGCTGCGCCCAAATCCCTGGTTGTTCTCTGAATGCTAACTTGGTTGTGCGGCGCACAGATTTTATGATTGCGCCTCCTGTTTCGTTGCCTCTTGCCACATGCCACAGTAACGCCCCAAACGTTTCGTGCACATATGCTATTCCCTGTGTGGGTGTGTGTCTCTATGTGTGTTAGCCGAATTAGCTCTGATTAGGCCCAATAGAGCTGCTGCTGCGGTGCATTGCACGGGGTTTTAGCTTGCCCCCAATTTTGGGACATGCGGCAGCTGAAATTGTTAAATGCCTGTTGCTGATTTACTGATTGTAACTCGTTTTCAGCTGTTTTGGAAATCTTATTTGCCAAACTGGCCTGCAAATGGAAATCTGATGAGTGGCCAAGTGACTGCATAACACAATACGCAAAAGCGCTTTTGGATATAGTATGTAGTTCGTCCTTTAAATTTGAATCATATATTTACTATATACCATAACAACTCGATCAAGACATGGTCTGATATATTTATCCAAAAGATTTTCGTAGGGAATAACATCTATTAAAAAATATATATAACAAATTTCTTTTCGTTCCAAAATCAGACCACAATTTTATAATGTCTGGACTATAATATTCATACTAATATTCAAAAGTGTGTCTTGAAATAAAATAAATTTCATTTTTGCTTGAACGTATGCACAAATATATTTAGGTGGTTATATATATTCGAATATATATTTTCATATATGTATAATCACATAAGTGTAAGTATAGGTATATGTATTGAATCCTGCCAATCAGTATTTATAATATGCTATAGCTGATAAATATAAATTTATATTTATATAATGTATATTAGTATGTGAAACAGTGAACATTTTAGCTTCCCAGCTTTACGGTTTGGGCTGTGCGTGGAGCACCAATCAGTCAGTCGATAAGTCAGTCAATAAGGTAGTCAGTCAGTCAGGACAAACACTTTTATATATAGAGATAATTTAAAAAAAAGTAAAATTTGTTAAATTGAACAGGTGCGTGTAAAAGTTCATAATTGTGGAGTATGTATGCATGTATGTGGGAGTGTATATGTATGTGTGTGTGTACGAATGTTTGCATGTATGTATGTATGTATGTGTATGTACATGTGTGTACGCACGAACACATGAATGCTTTCTTTAACTTAATACAGTCTAAGTTGTATACCACTGCGCTGCAAATTTAAACCAAACGAATTTTTATATGCTCTCCTCCTCGATTCTCATAAATTTAAGTAGGCCCTGCTGAAATTCAACAAGGCAGGAAACGTTGGCTCCAACGTCCGGTGGAGGAGCAGCTTGTGGCGGTGGAGCAGGAGCAGGTGGAGCGGGTAAGTAGATAAGTAGAATTGTATGTAGGTGTAGGTATGTATGTAGGTGTAGGTATGTATGTAGGTGTAGGTATGTATGTAGGTGTAGGTATGTATGTAGGTGTAGGTATGTATGTAGGTGTAGGTATGTATGTAGGTGTAGGTATGTCTGTAAGTACGTATGTAGGTATGTACATATGTAGGTATGTAGGTATGTAGGTATGTAAGTATGTAAGTATGTAAGTATGTAAGTATGTAAGTATGTATGTATGTATGTATGTATGTATGTATGTATGTATGTATGTATGTATGTATGTATGTATGTATGTATGTATGTATGTATGTATGTATGTATGTATGTATGTATGTGTGTATGTACATATGTATGTATGTATGTATGTATGTATGTATGTATGTATGTATGTATGTATGTATGTATGTATGTATGTATGTATGTATGTATGTATGTATGTATGTATGTATGTATGTATGTATGTATGTATGTATGTATGTATGTATGTATGTATGTATGTATGTATGTATGTATATATGTATGTATGTATGTATGTATGTATGTATGTATGTATGTATGTATGAGTGTATGTATGTTTGTATGTATATTTGTATGTATGTATGTATGTATGTATGTATGTATGTACATATGTATGTATGTATGAGTGTATGTATGTATGTATGTATGTATGTATGTATGTAACTATATGTAAATATATGCACATGCATATGCGCGCCAATTCAAAAAAAAAAACATTTCTATCAAATGCTCTACTACTCGATTCTCATGAATTCAAGTAGGCCTTCTGCAATCAGGCTTCTGCTTCAGTAGTGGAGGATGTGGTAACTTCAACAAGGAGGAGGCGGCTTCAGCAAGTAGGAGGAGATGGCGGCTTCAGTAAGAAGGGGACGGCAGCTTCAACTAGGAGGAGATGGCGATTTCAACAAGGAAGAGACGTCAGCTTCAAGAACGAGGAGGCGGCTTTTAGAATAATGGAGGAGATAGCGACTTTAACATGTGGGAAACGGCTTTATTAATGAAGCCACCTTCAACGAGGAGGAGACAACGGCTCAATATATATAATAACAATATGAGCGCAGACAACTGCTAACTGTGGCAGCTGAAAGAGATCACTTGGATACTCATCTCTATTTTTGATCAGGTATGTTACAAGATTAAACATTTTAGACTTGCATGTTCCTAAACCTGTCACGCATCATAGAAGAAAAGAGTATATATATTACAAAGAGGGTATAAAAAATAAATAAAAAACATGGGTAAAGTAAAATGCTTTAACATATTTTTAACTAGCGGGTTTGCCCAGGCCTTGCCCGTGGTACGTTTAAAGTAAATTCTCTCAAAGATATTTAAAAATGAGTTTGAAGCCGATCGGATAGTAAACCAATTTACCAATGTCTATATATAGGATATTTAAGGGTAAAATTTTCACATGAATTTTGACCAAGAATAATGTTTCGAGATTTAGATGCAGAATTGATCTGTAGGCCAAACCATGAACAAACAGCCAAACCTCGTGAAAATCGGAAGAGATTTGACCGAGTTATGGGGGTGGGACATTTTTGCCTATGTCTATATAGGATATTTGAGAGTACAATTTTCGCATGAATTTTGACCAAAAATATTGTTGCTAAATTTAGATACAGAGTTGATCTAATTGCCAAACCATGAACAAAAATCCAAGCCTCGTGAAAATCGGATGAGATTTGACCGAGTTATGGGGGTGGAACATTTTGACCTATTTCTATATAGGATATTTGAGGGTACAATTTTCGCATGAATTTTGACCAAAAATATTGTTGCCAGATTTAGATGCAGAATTGATCTAGAGGCCAAACCATGAACCAAAAGCAAAACCTCGTGTAAATCGGACGAGATTTGACCGAGTTATGGGGGTTGGAACTTTTGACCCATGTCTATAAAGGATATTTGATGGTACAATTTTCGCATGAATTTTGACCAAAAATATTGTTGCCAGATTTAGATGCAGAATTGATCTAGAGGCCAAACCATGAACCAAAAGCCAAACCTCGTGAAAATCGGACGAGATTTGACCGAGTTATGGGGGTGGGACATTTTGACCTATGTCTATATAGGATATTTGAGGGTACAATTTTCGCATGAACTTTGACCAAAAAAAATTTTGCCAGATTTAGATGCAGAATTGGTCTAGAGGCCAAACCATGAACCAAAAGCCAAACCTCGTGAAAATCGGACGAGATTTGACCGAGTTATGGGGGTGGGACATTTTGACCTATGTCTATATAGGATATTTGAGGGAACAATTTTCGCATGAACTTTGACCAAAAAAAATGTTTCCAGATTTAGATGCAGAATTGATATAGAGGCCAAACCATGAACCAAAAGCCAAACCTCGTGAAAATCGGACGAGATTTGACCGAGTTATGGGGGTGGGAAATTTTGACCTATGTCTATATAGGATATTTGAGGGTACAATTTTCGCATGAATTTTGACAAAAAATAATGTTGCCAGATTTAGATGCAGAATTGATATAGAGGCCAAACCATGAACAAACAGCCAAGCCTCGTGAAAATCGGACGAGATTTGACCGAGTTATGGGGGTGGGTAATTTCGACCTATATTACAGAATAGTAGCGGTAATACTCTGATATGGGCTGTGCTTTGGTCACCAATCGGTCAGTTAATAAGTCAGTTTTATATATAGAGCTAACTTAATGTTAAAACATTCATAATTGTGGAGTATGTATACATGTATGTGGGAGTGTATATGCATGTATGTGTGTATGAACAAATGTTTGTATGTATGTATGTGTATGTATGTGTGTACGCATGAACACATAAATGTTTTCTTTAACTTAACACAGTCTAAGTATTATACCACTGCGCTGCAAATTAAAACTAAACGTATTTTTAAATGCTCTCCTCCTCGATTCTCATAAATTTAAGTAGGCCCTGCTGAAATTCAACAAGGCAGGAAACGTTGGCTCCAACGTCCGGTGGAGGAGCAACTTGTGGCGTTGGAGCAGGAGGAGGTAGAGCGGGTAAGTAGATAAGTACAATTGTATGTAGGTGTACGTATGTATGTAGTTGTACGTATGTATGTATGTATGCAGGTATGTATGTAGGTATGTATGTAGGTATGTATGTAGGTATGCATGTAGGTATCTATGTGGGTATGTATATAAGTATGTATGTATGCAGCTATGTATTTAGGTGTGTATGTAGGTATCTATGTATGTATGTATGTATATATGTATGTATGTATATACGTCTGTATGTATGTATGTATCAGTAATTGTATGTATATATGGTTTTATGTATGTATGATTATGTTTCCATGTTTGCATAGATGTATACATGCATGTAAGGTTGCTTATATATATGTATGTATGTTTGTGCATATGTATGGAAGTATATATCTATTAGATCCTTTTTAAACCAATATTACTAATAAAATTAAATTTTTTTTCAGAGATTTATATATACAAAGGATTTCTCTGAAACACTAATAGAAGGAAATAAGCTAATAACTTGTGTGGATGGGAAATTTCAGGTAAGTATATATATATATATATAAATTATGATGAATGTTATATATATAAATAAAAATCTATGTTAAGACAATTCGGAGCTGGCTATTGACGGATTTTGTATAAGTCAAAGGCCACAGCTGCTACTAATTAGTATTACAAACGCATTTTAAAGTTATTTCCATTTGTTTGCTGCTACTTTGACTCTGTTTTCAGTTACTTTAATTGGACTGAAAAACCTTTGTAACTTATGCATATATATATATATATATATTACCTCATTAACCAATATTATTCAAAGTTACATTCCTCTTCTTCGGGTACTTGGCAAATAAATCTAATTATGTGACAGCTCTCACAGTTTGCATGACGTTGAGAGAGGCCGCAATGCATGTCAATAGGAAATTATGTTTGCAGCCTGTTTACGGCACTTACACTTGAGCACACTTTGTCCCCATGGTCCCCATGGTTCCTACATAAAATCAAATATTGTGGTTGCAGCCACTTGAGTCACAGCTACAGTGACAGCAGTAACAGTTGCAGTTACTTTGCCCCGATGACCGGAGCAACTGTCAAGCTTTCAGTTTGGTCTTGCTGTCACATGCTGCCACACCCACTAAAACACTTGTCAATTTGGGGCACAATTCATACTCGCCGCATTGCTGTAGAACAAGCAAATGCATAAAATGACCATAACATGGCTAACAACGCAAACACACACCCACACACACACACACACAAACACACACACACATAGGCACGTAGAGCGTAGGTTCTGTGTCGTGTCACCAATTTCAAGGCGGCACCTACAACAATCCTCTAGCCACAGCTGCGGGGCAGAGGCAGGCAGGCAGGCAGCTGAATTCCAATTGGAATGCACATGATGCAGCTGAATTAATTATTTAATTTAATTTATTGACTTATTTAACTCGATTTAGTGCCATCTCCTTGACAATCATTTGATTTACCACAATGAAATGCAAAAATTATGACCAGCGTTGCCAGACAGCCGCACAGAAGCCGAGCACGCAATTTCCGCTTTGTGTGTTTTTGGTAAACACAAAAACAAATGCTGGCCCGCCCAACAACAATAGTTGGCAAAATCCTATTAACTAAGAGCCCGAATATTGACCATTGCCTGGGAAGGGCGGCCACTTGGCTGTCCACTCAACGACTGACAAAATATTGGTTTAGTTTGGCTGCGTGCAGAATAATGAAATGTTTGTTTGATTGAGTGCCCAAACAAAAAACACAACAACAGAAGTAGTTTAGGCAGGAGGTGGGGGGCGATCAAATTGCCAGAAATCTAGTTGGATTTTTCATATATAACCCTAATAAGTTGTATTTGTATATTTTTTGGTTTGTGCGATGTTGTTATTGTTCTTGTTGTTGGTTTTGAAGGGCCGGCAACAGGAAATTGTTGCATGGCGTTGCCATATTATGCAAATCAGAGCTATTGAGCTGAGTTAAGCACAGTCAACAACCACAAAAGCAAAAACAACAGCAACACTGGCAAAGTGCAGCAACAAGCAAAAACCGAAAACCAAAAACCGAAAACCACTTTGCCAACTTATTTGTGGCAAGCAACATTTGCATGCATTGACGCATCATCATCGACACTGTGCATGCCTCTCGATATGTTAGTGTGAATGTGCGTGTGATTGTGTGTGTGTGTGTGTGTGTGTGTGCGAGAGTGCGTGTGTGTCCTTGTGAAAAGTAGAATTACATGTGTGCTGGATTGTTGCTGCTGCTGCTGTTGCTGCTGTCCACTTTTCGGCTGTGGTTTTTTTTATTGTTGTGTTTGTGTGAAAATGCGGTCCTTGACACACACACACAAGCCGAGGATAACACATGAACACTACATGCCAGCAAATTCATCCACACAAATCAATTGAAGTTTGCCAAAGGGCGTGGCAGACCCCAAATGTGTCAGCTCATATGTCAATTTGCATGGCATCCACATGCATCCACATGCCGCACAGTCCGCTGCACGATTGAAAAGTAATAAAAAGACTCAAATTTGCCATCGTTTAAGCGGCTCAACTAAAAGCAGAACATGGCAAGTGCAAATTAATATATAGTACATATCCATATATATTCATATTTATCAATACTCAAGTGGATGTGCGAGTGTGTGTGTGCGTGTGCGTGTGTCATTCTATAAAACTGTAGCTCTAGAGTATATTCTGGTTGTGTAACCAAATGAAAAAGTTGCTTCAATTTGAAATGTGAGCTGGCTTTAATTAAAAATTGTGCTAGGCTATCGAACAGAATTACAATACGTGCAAAATGCCATAAGAAATGAAGAGGTATTAATTAAAAATCTGCCGAAATGGAGTAGACAACAGATTACAAGAGCTTATTATTAGAGATGCATTCGATGTGCATTATATAATATGTGTAATACACAAGACGTAACTGTGGATGAGATATTTTTCTCTTATTTTAAAAGTAGTTTTCTAGAGCAGATAGATAACTTTTCTAACGATAGATATGATTGGAGTTTTGAGTCTAATTTCAAATGGTAGCAGAACAACTTGATATGGGAACCTAATACATATTCTGAATTTATCCATCAAATACTATATATAGAAAAAATTAGAAAATTATGAGTTCATGCGTGCATGCAAAAAACTTTGTTTATTTTATAAAAACATGTTTTCCCAAATTTTAAATACTACTTTACTTTTGTCAAGCAGTTAAGCAGGCATCTTCCTTAACTGCACCTAATCGCCGCCTTCTATTTCTAATCGTCTTATCCTAGAGCTCGCTTTCTCTCTCACTATATGTCTTTTTCCCTGTTGCCCTTATGTTAAAATATGAGAACTATGAATATATTTCGCACTTCTGCCTCGTTTTGGCCACCAGTTTATTAACAATTTAAGCGGCTTTTCGCCTTTTTTATTTGCCCAGTTGACAAATTTGAAGCTGCTTCAAAGCGCCGCTTTTAACATGGCTAACACACTCAAAGGTGTGCAAGTGTGTGTGTGTGTGTGTGTGTGTCTGGTAAGTAATCAACGCATCCATTTTGAGCGATTATATTTCACAGTTGGCAGACAGAGACACACACACACACACGCACACAGAGACAGATTTCAGGGCACCTTTGAGTGCTTGGTGAGGATCATTTTACAATTTGTGTGCCAACACTGCGGCATGTGGTTAGGTTTTTCAGGATGAGGCCGTGGACAGTGTTCAAAGTATTGCCCCATTAAGCTGCGCAACAATGCACACACTAACACACACACACACACACACACACTGATGCACAGCAGCTGTTTTGTCGAGTAGTCGAGTATTTGGGGTCTAATTACAAAACACAAATGCTCCATAATTTCAAAATCAAACCCCTGATTGTTGGCATTCTAGTGCCTGTCATTGACATGCATGATTTCGTAATTTAAACGGCAATCAGGTTTAGCTACCCCACCCTCCCCCCTCCCCCTCCCTGCACCAATGCAACGCCACATGTCAACAGTCAGCAAACTTCTCTGTCAGCAAAATCATGCAAAATGTCGCATTGGGGCAGACTCGTTGCGCACACGAGTGGATTTCCATAGATGAATTGGCGGGGCGTGGGGTGGGGTGGGGTGGGGCTGACTGTCTGCCTGATTGCACCGACTGTCCGGCCGTCTGTCTGTCCGTCTGTCTGTCCGTCTATCCGTCCGTCTGTCTGTCTGTCTAGCAGTTGTTCAATGCCCCATTCAAAGTTTATTGATTTCGTTCGAAATTGACACTTGCGCATCTTTTTTGTGCGTTGCGCTTTTGTTGCCCCTTGTCACTGAATTGGCCAATTGATAATTTGGCTAATACCCAAATGCTTAACATATGCGTTAGCTGGCATTAGCCACGCCTACTTGTGGCCTAATTAACGAGCCGCAACTTCAACAGCCGCCAATCGGTGGCAGCTCACTCAAGTGCAACCAAATGATATTGCATTATCTGGGAGGGGGCAGTGTCGAGGTGGGAGGGCGCGGAAAATTACTTGTAAAATTCAACTTCTCAGCGTGCCCCTCATTTAGATGGACCACTTAAGAAGCAACTGCATTGCAAAGGGATTCCGAAGCGATTCAAGTTTGTGAAGCTGTTGGCGCAAGATTCTTCCAAATATATCGCAGCACAAATGCCAAGCGATTTGCTCACAATTTATTATTCATTTGTTTTGATACCCTGTAACCACTGACAAAGACTTAGAGTTGTTATGTAACAGGCAGAAGAAGGTCTTTCGATCTAAGAAAAATACATGTATTTACACATTCTCTATCAGCATCAATATTCGAGTCGTTCTAGCCTTGCCCGTCTGTCCGTCTGTCAGTCTCAGATACAAGAGGTAGAAGTTAAATTATCGATAACTCCTGCCATTTTTGCGCTATCGATAACAGCCTAAGTTCTCATATAGCATACACATATCCAAAATATTTTATTTACTTTTTCAAAATTCAAAGATTTTCAGAGGTTTCTGTTCATATTTTGTGACCCAAAAAGCTTCGTAAATTTCGAAAATTAGGCTTAAGCAACTCATCGCTTTTTACAGGGTATCTCCTAATCAATCTTAGCTAGATCAATCTAACTTGTTTTTGTTTATCAAATCGACAGCTGTGAATTTTTCATTTGATTTGAGCTGTCAACAGCAAAAGGCCAGCTGACACACGCACACACAGACACACACTTACACACTCACACACTCACATTCACACGCACACACACATGCACACAATATTATAGGTGTCAATGGCAAGTAGAAAGAAACAAAGATATATGGTTAGCAGCGCGGGGGCAGGGGGAAACACATTGTCATACAATTTATTGCAATTGAAATCTGAGCAGCTTGTGTGACCCTTGAACTCTGCCGCAGGGCTTCGGCTGGGTGTGACAAATGCAAGCACAGGTCAAATGCCAATTGCTCTTTGGCTACGCGTGCTGTTTACATAAAAAGATGAAATAACAAATATTGTAAAGTGGGCGAATATGAGATAAATATAATTTACAAGGCTTGACCGGAATAATAAAAACAATTATTGGG